GAAGAAGAAATAAGAATCTCTCCTCTCTTTCTCTCTATATCTCTTAGCTTGCTTTTCCTTGTTCTATATTGTTACTTTGAGCTATATTTCATAATACGTTATCATCACGAGACTCTACCGTCTCAAGAAGCTCTTGGAGAAGACTAAGCAAATATGGATATCTCTCAAAACAAACTTTGATCAAATTTCAATTGTAAAAATATTTGCTTAATTGATTCATGTACGACACATACAATATTCAAAGAGAAGAAATATTTCTCTTATTTAGGTATGTGTAAGGCAGATGTTATTATAATTTCTGGTAGTAGTAATCTAATTGAAGGCTCTGGCAGAGCCACTATAACTCTGCCTAATGGAACAATACTTATCATAGAGAATATAATATTCTCCTCTAAGTCCAAGAGGAACTTGTTGAATTTTAAAGATATCCGTCGAAATGAATATCATATTGAGATAATAGGTGAGAATAATATCGAATATCTCATTGTTACCAAGAATGTCTCTGGCTAGAAAAGGATTATTGAGAAGTTCTCATCTTTATCTTGTGGCATGTATTGGACAAGAATTAGTACAATTGAGGCACATTCTATCGTAAACCAAAAGGTTATTGATTCCAATACTTTTGTATTTTGGCATGATCGATTGGGAGATCCTGGAACAATTATGATGAGACAAATTATAGAAAACTCAAATGGGAATCCATTAAAGAATTTAAAGATTCTTTTAAATAATGAATTTTCTTGCACTTCTTGTTATCAAGGCAAGTTAATTATTAGACCATCGCCAACAAAGGTTGGGATTGAGTCCCCTGCATTTTTAGAACGTATACAAGGGGATATTTGTGGACCTATTCACCCACCTAGTGGGTCGTTTAAGCATTTTATGGTCTTAATAGATGCATCTTCTAGATGGTCTAATGTGTGCCTATTGTCATCTCGCAACCTGGCGTTTGCAAAATTAATGGCACAAATAATTCGATTACGGGCACAATTTCCCGATAATCCAATTAAGTCTGTTCGACTTGATAATTTTGCTGAGTTTTTATTCCAAGAATTTAATGATTATTGCTTATCAATTGGGATAAAAGTGGAACATCATATAGCTCATGTTCACACTCAAAATGGCCTTGCAGAGTCTTTGATTAAACGTCTGCAATTGATAGCAAGACCGTTACTCATGAAAATAAAATTACCCACTTCTGTTTGGGGTCATGTCATTTTGCATGCATCAATGCTAATTTGTCTCAGACAGACAAATTATCATAAATATTCCCTGTTGCAATGTTTTGGGTCATGAACCTAATATATCTCATCTAAATTTTTTTGGATACGGTGTATATGTGCCTGTAGCACCGCCATATCGCACCAAGATGGGTACCCAAAGAAGGTTAGGAATATATGTTGGCTTTGAATCGCCTTCAATTATTCGCTACCTTGAAACACTAACGGGAGATTTGTTCACTGCTCGATTTGTATATTGTCGATTCGATGAGGCATTTTCCCCAAAATTAGGGGGAGAAAATGGTGAAACCAAATGTGGAATTTTGTGGAAAAATACATCATAGTCTCATCTTGATCCACGTGACTCTATTTGTGAAAAAGAGGTGCAAAAGATTATCCATTTGCAGAAAATAGAAAATCAGATGTCATATGCATTTACTGATCTGAAAAGGATAACAAAATCACATATCCATGCATAGAATGTTCCAATCCGTATTGATGTCCCTGTTGGACAATCTTTAGTGTCATAGCTAATAAGTCAAAAACACTCCTAAAGCGTGGCAGACCGTTAGTTTCTAAGGATCGGAATCTTAGAAACAGGAAAATAAATGATCAAGATGACACTACGAATGAGTCTCATAAAGAAATCCATGATTTAACCAATCCTAAAATTCATGAGGAAATCAATGAGCCTGAGACTCAAGAAAATAAGGAACTATCAATAAACCCAATCGATATTGAGACAGATTTGAATCGATTGAATATAGTTGTGGATTGTGTCTTTGCATACAATGTTGCATCTAGCATTATGCAAGATAATGAGGATCGTGAACCTCAATCCGTTGGAGAATGTCGACAAAGACGTGATTGGCCAAAATGGCAAGAAGCAATCCAATCTGAGTTGGATTCACTTGCGAAACGTGAAGTTTTTGGGTCTGTAGTCCAAACACCTAATGGTGTTAAACCTGTTGGCTATAAATGGGTCTTTGTACGTAAAAGTAATGAGAAAAATGAGGTACAAAGATATAAGGCACGCCTTGTTGCACAAGGATTTTCACAAAGGCCAGGTGTCGATTATGAAGAGACGTATTCTCCTCTTATAGATGCTATAATGTTCCGTTATCTCATTAGTCTTGTTGTCCATGAAAAGCTTTACATGCATTTAATGGATGTGGTTACAACCTACCTTTACAGCTCACTTGATAATGAGATATACATAAAAAAATTCCCGAGGGATTTAAAATGCCTGACGCACATAATTCAAAGTCCAGGGAAATATTTTCAATCAAATTGCAAAGATCTTTGTATGGTCTAAAGCAATCAGGAAGAATGTAGTATAACCGCCTTAGTGAATACTTATTAAAGGAAGGTTATATAAATGATGCCATTTGTCCATGTGTTTTTATAAAGAAAACAAAATCGGAGTTTGTTGTACTTTCTGTATATGTTGATGACATAAACCTTATTGGAACTCCTACAGAACTCCAAAAGGCAATTGATTATTTAAAGAAGGAATTCGAGATGAAAGATCTCGGAAAGACAAAATTATGTCTCGGTTTGCAAAATGAACATTTGGCAAACGGAATTTTTGTTCATCAATCTGCCTACATAGAAAAGGTATTAAAATAATTTTACATAGATGGAGCACATCCATTAAGTACTCCAGTGGTTGTTCGATCACTTGATGTGAATAAGGACTCGTTCCGACCTCAAAAAAAGAATGAAGAGCTTCTTGGTCCTGAAGTACCATATCTTAGTGCAATTGATGCACTAATGTATCTTGCTAATACTATAAGGCCTGACATAACTTTTTCAATTAATGTCTTAGCAAGATATAGCTCTGCTCCTACAAGAAGACATTGGAATGGAATCAAATACATATTGTGGTATCTAAACTACCATTATGGGCTTATTTTATGGCAATGATTGCAATCCCGATCTTGTTGGTTATGCCGATGCTGGGTATTTATCTGACCCACACAAGGCTCGATCTCAAACATATTATGTGTTTACATGTGGACGCACTGCAATATCTTGGCGATCGACTAAGCAATCAATCGTGGCTACTTCATCTAATCATGCTGAGATAATTGCTATTCATGAAGCAAGTCGAGAATGTGTATGGTTGAGGTATGTAATACACCTTATTCGAGACAAATGTGATTTGAAGTGTGACAAATTACCCATAATTTTGTATGAAGACAATGCAACATGCATAGCTCAATTGAAGGGAGGATTCATAAAACGAGATAGAACAAAGCACATTTCATCAAAGTTATTTTTCACACATAATTTTAAAAGAATGGTGATATCAATGTGCAATAGATTCATTCAAGTGATACTATGGCTGATTTGTTCACCAAATCTCTACCGACGTCAACCTTCAAGAAACTAGTGTATAAAATTGAGATGCAAAGGCTCAAGGATGTGAACCGATGCTCTCATTAGGGGGAGTTGATACGCGTTATACTCTTTTTCCCTTATAAGGTTTTATCCCACTGGGTTTTCCTTGCAAGGTTTTTAATGAGGCAACCAAAAAGCGTATTTCTAAATAAGTGTCTTTTTTTTCCTTCACTAGAATTTTTTTTCTAATAAGGTTTTAACGAGGCACATTATCTATGGACATCCAAGGGGGAGTGTTATAAGAAATATCAAATTATAGTGAATGCCTATTCTCCCTCCATGATCTTCATCTCAAATGCTTAATGACATATTCAATGACATATTTTCTATGTGTTAATGACATATTTTCTTCACTTTTCATGCCTATATAAAGGCCTTGTAATAGATAGAAAAATACACACAATTGAAAAAGAAATAAGAATTTCTCATCTCTTTCTCTTTATATCTCTTAGCTTGTTTTTCCTTGTTCTATGTTGTTACTTTGAGTTATATTTCATAACAGAAACTATGATCCCAAATTAAAAATTTTGCTTGAGATGATTATATTAATGTATTTAGAAATTCGGTTAGTCTTTTGAAAGTAGTCTAATAAGGACAAAAAGAGTAGGGTAAGCATTATTTTCTATTCAATAAACTTGCTCCACATATTATGCTCTACAGTGAACTTTTCTGAATATGGTCAAATTTGTAATTGCTGATATCTACAATAGAAATAGACACTCATTTTGTAAAAGCGATTGCACACTTATAAGAAATATATATAAATTGCACTCGATTGATAATATGTAGAAAGAATATCTTTAAATGGAGACGCGAATTTTGGAGAAGAAAGTTTAGGTTCTACTTTTAACATGTTGAAATTTGACAGTAAAGGAGACACAATGTGTTTGGACAGTAAAACTAATTACATTGTTTGGACCTTATATAATGAAATTTAAATTAATAATATTTAATTTTAAAAAATTAAATTTGAAATTAGTTAACTTGGAAATGAAATTGTTCTTATTTATTATTGATGCTTCATACTAAGAATTTAATTCTCAAATAAAATGCTTTACATAGAATTGCAACAATTTTGAACTGTTTAAACTAGAGATATTTTTGACTTGAGATTACATATAATTGTGTCCTAGCTTTTCTTTCTAGTCACATTTTGCCCCTGCTTTATTTTCATCACTTAAGTTCCCTACTATAAATAAAACTGGATGAATATGGCCAACTTCAAAAGTTTCTAATGGTACCAGGAGTCCAGGACGGTATTACAACTGAGAATGACAGAGATATAATTTAACCAACATATACATATAGACACTAATTGCTCACATATTTAATTCTAATTTACAAAAAAAGGATAGGCAGCATGTTGCAAGTAGCCTTGAAAGGCATAAAACTATCACTATACGCAAAACTAACATGGGAAATTGAAACGCCGAGTTAAACTATCATACGCTCTCTCTATTTAAACAGCTTATCTATTTGCTTTGTGAACTCACAAATTCTCTTGGTCTTAAATTCCAAGAAAGAACTTTGAAAACACAGAACACAAATATGGGCTCACAAGGCACAATACCACCTATTCATGTCTTTATGATCTCATTCCCAGGCCAAGGCCATGTCAATCCTCTACTTAGACTTGGCAAACTTCTAGCTGCCAAAGGTATTCTCGTTACCTTTTCTACAACCGAAAGTCACGGTGCTCAAATGAGAAAAGCCAATAAAAACATAAGTGATGAGCCAACTCCCTATGGTTCAGGTATGATAAGATTTCAATTCTTTGATGATGCTTGGGATTATTCTAAGCCCGAGGGAACCGACCTCGGGTTATACATGCAACATCTAGAGTCAGCGGGTACAGAACGCCTCAATCAAATGATTGAGGAAAACGAGAAACAGGGTCGCCCTGTTTTTTGTCTTATAAATAATCCTTTTATTCCTTGGGTTTCTGATGTTGCTGAAAGTCTTGGAATTCCTAGTGCTGTCCTTTGGGTTCAATCTGCTGCTAGCTTTTCTTGTTATTACCATTATCTCCATAAATTAGCTGAATTCCCTACTGAATCAAACCCCGAGCTTGAAGTTCAACTTCCCGCTATGCCTCTACTCAAACATGACGAAATTCCTAACTTCTTGCACCCTTTTTCTTCTTCTCGCTATATTATGTTGAAAAAGGCTATTTTGGGTCAATTCAAAAAATTATCTAGTCCATTTTGTATACTAATGGATACTTTCCAAGAACTTGAACTTGAACTCGTTGAGCAACTTTCCAAAATATGTCCTATTAAAACTATCGGTCCATTATTCAAGCACCCTAAATTAGTTTCCCCTAATGGATCCTCACAAGATTTTCGTGGCGATTTGTTCAAAGCCGATAGCGGTGTAATACAATGGCTCGATTCAAAACCAATGTCCTCTGTTGTGTATATTTCATTTGGGAGTATAGTCTTATTGAAGCAAGAACAAGTTGATGAAATGGCCTATGGGTTGTTGAATTCAGGGCTGAATTTTTTGTGGGTAATGAAAGAACCTTACACAGGGACAGGTTTTTTACCAGTTAAATTACCAGATGGATTTTTGGACAAAGCTGGTGATAGGGCTAAAATTGTACAATGGTGTCCACAAGAACAAGTGTTGGCACATCCATCTTTAGCATGTTTTTTGACCCATTGCGGATGGAATTCGACTATGGAATCACTAGCAATTGGTACACCAATTATTGCTTTTCCTCAATGGGGTGATCAAGTACTTGATGCTAAGTATTTAGTGGACGTATTTAAAGTTGGGATTCGCCTGTGTAGAGGTGAGGACGAAAATAGAATTATTCCTCGAGAGGAAGTTGAGAATTGCGTGAGGGAGGCGACGAGCGGAGCAAAGGCGGCGGAGATGAAAGAAAATGCGTTGAAGTGGAAGAAAGCGGCGGAGGATGCGGTGGCTGAAGGTGGCTCCTCCCAGCAGAATCTGCAGGCTTTTATTGACGATATCATCACAACATGTACTGCTGAAAAGTTCAAGAAATCTGGCCTGTACTAAATGTTTTTATGGTCCAAAACAGGAGATCGACCACCTTAGAAATTATAGTACTTAACTAGTTGAATTAAAGTTGTGTATTTAATATTTGAAACATCGAATTAGACTATGTTTCCAGTTTGTTATAATAATAATAATAGATCCACATTGTCCGTTTGACTGCTAAAGGAAGCTAGCTTTCTTCTAGAAACTCAACGTGAGAATTAATAATATTTTCTTAAACATGTTAGCTTCCAGATAAATCCTGATAAATTAAGTGTTAAAAGTAGTGATTTATGCGATTAGTTATGTACTTACACTGGTTAGGTTCGATAATCAATTTTTTGTGATTGGGCAAATGTTGTTGAATTAGAATTTCTTGTTTTGGGATGTACTAGGGGATCAAACATGAAGCAACTGTTTTGTATACTTGTATTGTTATATATCCATCACTGTATTGAGTATTGGATTTTTTTTTTTCTCGAGTGAAGTTCAATGGTCGAACTTAAAATTTGGTAACGGAAACAATTAGTCATTTGACAATTTAATTAATTTTAAGAACAATTGTGACCCCCTAAATTTTTTCTAAACTTTCTTGAGAAAATTCTGAAGTGTACTTTGGTCATTTTAGGTAAAGATGAAAGAGCTTAGATATTATTGTAAAGAGGAAATTAATTCTGATTCCAAAGTCATTTTTGAAACAAATTTTAAATAAATAAGCAAATATGAAATTTCAATAAACATAACGAATACTTTCTCCATCCTAATTTGAGTGATTAGTATTTCCTTTTTAGTCTCTCCCAATAAAGATGTTATTTTTATATTTATGAATGATTTAACTTTAAAAAAATTTATTTATCATTAATTAATTAATGAGAAAAGTTTTATAGCTACAGGAATTTCTATAAAATATTTTAGACCATACATTTTAAAATTATTTTTTTTCTTTCTTAAACTTTTTATCTAGTCAAACACCATTACATAAAAGGAGATTATAGATATTGATTATTTTCTTTTATTTGGTGTACGAGCACAAAAAACGTGAAACAAAGTTGCTTATTGCGAGGTAGAGTTGAAAATATTTCTGGTTATGCCAAATACTGTTAGAACATGCGCAACGGAAGCAAACAAACAAATCAGGCATCAAATACATGTAAACTAGACAATGCTATAACTGTTAGATTAGAAGCACTAACCTCTTGAAATCGTTGCACAAATCCTCCACACAGCTAGAATCCAGGGTTGCAGTCTTCTGCTATATGCCTAGTAAAACCTTGGGCGAATTTATTTTGAGTGGGCAAGAACAATACAACTCTAAAAAGTGAGTTATTGGGTGAAATTAGTCTTCCTTAAATAGACTAATTTTTGGCCGAAAATCAGCTCCAAAAACGTGTAGGATTCTACTTGCACCTCTTACTCTACCGGATGACTTTTCTTCCAAGTCACTTTTTACCCAAGTTAAGTCCAGATTTTTACTAGGTATAGTAGGGACCACATAAATAATAAGAGGCTACTAATTATAGCATTAATTCGAAATTAGCATAAATTAGTTCTTACTATAATTAATTGCAGTTTATTCCACAAAAAAACTGCAATTGAACTCCTAAATATGAATTTCAAAAATTCAGTAACACTTATTTTAATTCCCCATGTTAAGATCTCAAATATCAATTAATTAAATTAAATCACTAAAAATTTAATTTAATCAACTAATTAAATCCTTTATAATTCCGCTTAAACTATTTCATGTGATGGATACAAAATCTACCGGCCTGGTTTTTACACAAAAACTTATAAACTCACATAAAGGAGTATTGTCAAACTCAAAACCAAGTCATGGATTCTATCAACTAATTATTATTTCACAAATGTTATTCGTTATTGTCCAATCTATTAGACATACACAAACTCTGAATAGAGTCGTAACTTTTGATAAATCAAAACAATAAATAAATTACATTGGTCATAATAATTATATCAAGATTAGGAGTATAAGCTCATTTAATGAATAAGAGAAAATATTTTATATATATATTCAGTACAAAAACATCTTTTCTCTACTTGGTCCGTTCAATATACACTAAGTATACTAGCACAAGAAGTCGGAGTAAAACCACTCCCATAATCAAGACAAATTATACCATAATCTTGTGCTACAATCATCAAGATATTTTGTCCAATAATATCTTTGATTGTGAACATAGTTTATTAATTATGTGAACCAATAATTTAATCTTTTGTCCATGAGTTAAGACTCCATACACTAAATTATCTATTACATAACTAAAAGGACACACATGTAACAAATAATCTATTTAAAATAGTACTTTATTGAATTGAATAAATTTATTTAAATAATTATTCCACAAAGAATAAAACAATATGGTTAATAGTATATCCCAACAATCTCCCACTTAGACTCATAACCATGCGTCTACTACTCTAATACCCATTCCTTCTACATGCTTGTCAAAAATCTTCTGTGTCAAGCTCTTTGTAAACGGGTCTGCCAAATTTTCCTCTGGCGCAATCTTCAATACTCTTGTATCACCTCTCTGAGTTATGTCCCGAATTAAGTGATATTTACGCTCAATATGCTTACTCCTTTTATGGCTTCTTGGTTCCTTCGAGTTTGCAACTGCACCACTATTGTCACAATAAAGTACAATCGGTGCTCGAACCGAAGGAACTACATTAAGCTCTTTTAGAAAGTTCCTGAGCCAAACAGCCTCTTTAGCTGCCTCAGATGCAGCCACATGTTCGGTTTCCATGGTGGAATCAATAACACATAATTGCTTGATGCTCCTCCAACTTATGGCTCCACCTCCTAAGGTAAAAACATATCCTGAGCTAGATTTTCTAGAATCTCTAACTGACTGAAAATCTGAATTAGTATAGCCAATGGGTGCAAGATCACCTGAGTGATACACCAACATATAATCCCTAGTCCTTTTCAAGTACTTGATTATATGCTTAACGGCAGTCCAGTGTTCTCGTCCAGGGTTAGACTGAAATCTACTAACCATGCCAACAGCAAAGCAGATATTAGGTCTGGTACATAGCATAGCATACATGAGACTCCCTACAGCAGAAGCATAAGGGATCACCTTCATCTTTTCTATCTCATCAATCATTTTTGGGGACTGATCTTTCGACAGAGAGATTCCATGTCTAAAAGGGACAAAGCCTTTCTTGGAATCTTGCATGCTAAACCTGGTAAGAATAGTATCAATATAAAGTACTTGGAATAAGCCTAATATCCTTTGCTTGCGATCTCGCATAAGCTTGATCCCAAGGATATGTGCCGCATGTCCCAAGTCTTTCATATCGAAACGTGAGGACAACCATTCCTTTACTGAATTCAACATGCTCACATTGTTTCCTATGAGCAAAATATCATCTACGTATAAAACCAAAAATGTAACTTTATCTCCATCCCACTTCTTATAGACACATGACTCATTTTCACATTGATCAAAACCGAAGGTTTTAATTGATGCGTCAAAACAAGTGTTCCATGCTCTAGAAGCTTATTTCAATCCATAAATAGATTTCATTAATTTACACAACATGTGCTCATTGCCACTTTTTATGAAACCAACTGGTTGTGCCATATAAATGCGCTCATCAAGACTTCCATTTAGAAAAATCGTCTTGACATCCATTTTCGAAACCTCATACTAGTAATGAGCAGCAATGGATAAGAGAATCCTAATGGATTTAAGCATGGCTACTGGCGAAAAGGTTTCCTCATAATCGATTCCTTCTTTTTGAGTAAACCCTTTTGCAATAAGCCTAGATTTAAAAGTTTACAATTTTCCATTCACTCCTCTCTTTTTCTTATAGATCCATCTACAACCAATGGGTTTGACTCCAGTAGGCGATTCTACAAGATCCCAGACTTGATTGGAGTACATGAACTCCATTTCAGATTTTATAGCAGCAACCCATTTATCAGCATCTGTATCCTGCAGTGCTTCGTCGTAATTAATATGTTCCGTTTTGGGCTCTTTAGAGATTCTATCATAATATTCTCCCAAGAGCATAAAACGGAGAGGTTTTCTTATAATTCTCCCACTACGACTAGTCACTACAGGTGCAATATTTTATTGTTGAATTACAACATCATTTTCCGGAACTGAAGCGTCAATGTTATCCTATATACCTTGCGGTATTGGGATATCATTAACTTCTTCCTAGAGTGCAGGCTGCAAAACAATTTTAGGTTGCTCAACAATCTGAGGTTGCTCAATATTACTTCCACTACTTTGGGGTAGTGAGATGTCAGGCAATTGCTCTTGTGCATTCTGGTGCCTATTGTCATTTCTCCCACTACGATAATGCAGTGATATGTTAATACTGGCTTCCGGGATACGTTCCATAGATGAGTCATTAGTTACTCCATTACTTAATTCCTATAAAACTAGTTTACTTCTAGGAATATGGTTCATTAAATAGTCCTCTTTTAAAAATATGGCATTTGTCGTAACAATTACCTTCTTTTCTTTGGGACAATAAAATAAACCGCGTTTAGTTCCTTTTAAATATCCAATAAAAATTCATACTTCTGTCCTCGATTCCAATTTATCTGTTTTTCCTTTCAGCACATGTGTAGGACAACCCCAAATCCGAATATGCTGTAAACTTGGCTTGTGCCCAATCCACAATTCTACTGGAGTTAAAGGTACTGACTTTGAAGTAACCAAATTTAGAATGTAATTTGCTGTTTCTAAAGCATATCCCCAAAAGGAAGAAGGAAAATCGGAATAACTTAACATTGATCTAACCATTTCCATAAGGGTCCTATTTCTTCTTTCTGCCACACCATTTTGTTGTAGTATTCCTGGAGCAGATAATTGAGATGTAATTCTTGAATCTGATAAGCATTTAATGAATTCCGCAAAAAGGTATTCACCACCACGATCAGATCGCAATGTTTTGATATATTTATCATGTCGTTTTTCTGTTTCCGTCTTAAATTCCTTGAATTTCTCAAAGCATTCAGACTTACGGTGCAATAGATAAATGTATCCATATTTTGAGTAATCATCTGTGAAAGTCACAAAATACTCAAAACCACCTCTTGCTTGTATATTCATAGGGCCACATAAATCAGAGTGAATTAATTCTAACTTATTGTTGGCTCTATTTCCTTTTGAGGGAAAATATCTCTTGGTCATTTTACCTTCTAAACAGGATTTGCATGTTGGCAGTGACTCCACTTTCAACGAACTCAAAGGTCCAT